GTATTATAATTATAGTGCGTAACGACCTGAGTCATTAAATGCGAGGGAAAAAATAATATTTTGCAACACGATATAATGCGTTATTTTATTTTATGTTTCGTATCGCTTTTGTGGATAGTCATTAAAACGTTGAAGTAATAAGCACAACTATTATCGTATATTTTTCATTTAATTTATGAGTTTTCAATAAAGATAAAATATAATTTATCATCATCGCATTATTACATTATTGTAACGCGTAAATTAAAAGCTTTCAAATATTGAATATTGTGACAAAACGCACAAGCTATAATATGAAAATACACTACCCTGCAGGTGAGTGCAGTGTCCAACTTAACCGTGGAAAATTGAAATAAAGGTGAGTAAACACTTTTACTGATTATTTTTTTATTTATTTTTTTTTTTGTCCACCCACAAAAAGAAGAAACTAAACTATTGATAAGGCGTTAAGTAAATATGACCTTTTGTTCGTTATTAAATTTGTACTTGTGTATAACAAGTGAAGTAAGTGTTTTTTGTTTTGCAATCGTTAATACGATTAAATTAATGTCCTCGTAAATCGAAAATATTAACTTTTGTTATGACGATTCCTCTATAGATCTGCTTAAAAAGTGTATGTCAACTCAGSAAAATGGCCAAGACGCGGAAGCCCAAATAATTATATTAAAGCATTTGTGATGAAATGTCAATAACGTCGTTTTATATTTTTAACGATTTGAAAAATAATTCAGAGCGGTGGAAACTRTAAATGATTGTATTCAAGTTTATTTTTATTGACACAAAGTATTGTATATGGATTCAAACTCTAATTTAAAATTAAAATAATTGTATCTATCGATGCAAACACTTTTGTTTGAATAGTGTAATATACAGCAATAATTATTAAGTTGCATTTACCAATCAGCAATTTTATATATTATTATGTACATTTTTAAATGGTTCTAACTTGTAAACCATTTTTAAAAGATGGAAAAATTAATATTTTAARACGTAAACTAACAAAAAAATTGATATAAATTATTATGATATTTTAGATGTGTACAGCGGTACACGCAGATAGTCGACATTTATTTGCATCTTGTATGATGGACGATAGTTTTATGCATGTTATGAAGATCACTTTTCGTTAAAATGAATACAATTTAAATGTACTCAAATTGAGTGATGGCCATAATTAAAATAAGACTACCTTACATTTAGCCATTTATTTTTTGTTTTTGTGCACACAGGGTAAGAACGGTATAAAGAATAATATTGATAATAAGGCAGTATTATAATTTATAGGTAATTATAATTTTAAAAATAACAGTAATAATAATAAAGTAAATTTTTTCCACTGATTATTAGGGTGACATCATATTTCATATCAATTGACCGAATTAAAAAACGTCTGCGTGGTCGGTATATTAAAAGTATACGAGGTTAACTTTATTTAATAACACCTGCATGTCTTTTGTGATTAATATTGTTGTTACATATTACAGTAAAATAATATAAATAACAATATTTTAACGTACCTATATAATATAATTGACGTGGGTACCTTTATAGACATATCAATCGTTCGTTTGCCGCGAACAAATCGTCAGGCCGATGCGTTCATATAATATATTATATTATTTTGTAATCGTATCGGCTTACACAAATGGTC